TGTGTGTAACGAGTGCGACATTTTCAATGCAGAAAGAGCATATATGTAGAGTATTTGTGCAGCACTTGCTCCAACAATCTCTGCAGGGCTACACGGGGGACCTTTGTCTTTGTGCGCGTGAACGCCCGCGCGAGCGTGACGAATGTTGCACCGCAGTCGGGACGTGTGGACCATGAAAACTCGGGGGCATTTTTTAAAACTCAACATTTTATATCCAACGACGACTTACGTTACTTGTTTTCTGAGTGTCACGTTACTTAATAAAAACCAAAATCATGCATTTACATGAATATAAGTTGAATTCATACAAATGTTCATGTTGGCCCAATTATAATAATAAAAAAATTGCCGAAGTGAGTGTTTGCATTAAGGGTGGGCAATGTTTAAAGTATATGTACAAGTTAATAGATGCATGGCTTTCGTCTTCATTAGGGGAACAATACCCATGAGTATGTGTCTTTATATATTTTATATATACGTATGCCAATGCGCGTGTGTGTGTGTTCGGAGCGGTGGCGCAGTAGTTAGCGCACTGCGCTACGAATTCGGCGAACCGAGATCGATTCCCGCGCTCACGATCAGTGGCGAATATTTGAACCGGTCCAGCGGGCTCCCCTGGGTCGACTCAGCCTTAATTGAGTATCGGTTATGCTTTATGTAAACATCAGCACGGCAACTCGTTGTGCCCTGTCGGCCTTCATAGGCGCTCGTAAACAACAATTGCCCTCAACAGTTGCATAAGGCTATACGGAACGGTGGCATCTTTGTCTTTGCATAGACATACTCACAGTTACAAACACACCCTACATTACTCCGTGCATTTATCTGATGCCACGTTTGTTGTGATGCATCTGATGCCATTTGTACGTGCAACGGTTATAGCCGCATGTGCGCGTGTGCACGGGGGAGCGGTGGCGCATTAGGTTGGCGCACTGCGCTATCAAACCCGGCGTCCCGAGTTAAAATTACCCGTCACGGCACTCGTGGGTGGCGAGTGACACCTTGAACCGGCGCTGGGTTCGTTCCCCAATACCCTGAGCTGACCAGCGTGGCAAAGTATGTTTCGAGTAAACCCCGCGATCGACAGGAAGGCCTGCGGGAGGCATTCATCCAGCAGTGGATTGAAAACGGCCTCCTGCACTATTGCGTTTACAAGTCGATTTTTTTTTGGGGGGGGGGGTTAGTTCAACGTATCATATGTCATTTACATTGAACAGTCGTACCGTATTTATGTAGTTTTAATTTATTTATACAGCCTACAATATCTTCTTTATACCCCGTAAATTATTCACGAGCAGAGTGTGCGCGTGTGTATTTACACGCGTACACGTGTCGCAGTATTGTATTACACACCCTGACCAGTGTGCAATATATAGACACGTACACACACACATCCAAATCCTGCCCACGCAGAGACAAGCAGGCAAAGACAAGGATCCCCCGTGTAGCCTTTAACAGACTGTTAGGGCAAGTGCTGTTCGCAAGCACCTATGAAGTCTGGAACATGCACACGAGGGGGTGGATGGCCAGCCGCACCACGCCCGGCCGATGTTGTCGCCCGACGTTTACACACCGCACCGGGTACTCATTTGAGGCTGAGTCGACCTAGGGGGAGGCCCACAACCGGTCCAGATAATCGTCACCGGTATTGGCCGTTAACGGGAATCGAACTCGGGTGGCCGGGTTCGCAGCGCAGTGCGTTAACCGCTACGGCACCACACGTGCGGTGCTGGTATGCCCAGGATCACGTTCTTGCGTGAAAGCGGTCACTATGCGATCTAGATTTGAAGCTTTCGTGACTGCAGGAATCCATACTAATCTATCTACCACTGAGTGCATGTGTAAGAATAATGCTGTAGTAATAATAACCATCATCATCATCATCATACTTTGTAGCTATCCGGGGAGAATCTCACCGATTCTCAAGGCTCGTCAAGGAGGCGTTCTGCTACGCTGCCATGTTTGGCAAGTTCCTTTTATAATATTTAAAAAGAGGATTTCGATTCGTTTCGCTGGTAAGCCGAGAACACGGAGGACACCTTCGGGAGGCTCACGGGGAGATGATGACACTGCGATCCACGCCAGATGGGGCCTCAAACCCGCTTGCTCTACTGCCACCCCTTGCTCATCACGCAACCACTCGAGCAGCGCGTTTGGGAACTTTACCAATCTTTACGTGATCCAGCAACCCTTGCCAACAACTCCCGCGACCTCCTCCCGACGCTCACGGGGTTCATCCCCGTGTCCGACCAGAGCCCTACAGGAACCCTTATTCGGGGTACCCCTTTCTATATCCCCCCGAGCGGGTCTGGTCCCCTGACTAAACGTTCCCAGGGGTTCCTCTTTGTGTGAGTCCCCACGGGCAACCCCCATCACCTACTTGGAACCCCTCCTCTGGGTCCCCCCCCCTCTCTCCCTGTGCCCCCCCCCCTACTGCGGACCCCTACTGGGACCCCTCCTCGCCCCCCCCCCCATTCCCCCCCGAGCGACCCCGGGCCATTGCCAATAATACCCTGACGAGACCGGGAGTCGCATTCGTCAGCCATCAATCAAGGGGGGCAGCAGCAGCAGCGCCGCCATCGCCGACCTAAACTTTGCTCTGCGGAATCCCGATCCGTTTCCTGTCTGCGGGGGGGAGGGGGGTGCGGTGGTAGGGGGGGGTAAAGGGGGGGGTCGTGCAGGGGTGATGGGAGGGTGGGTGGTGGTGGTAGTGGTGGTGGTGTAGAGGGGAAGCTGTTTCGCCGGCCACACAGCAAGACGAGGAGAGCTGTGAGCGCGCCTGCGAACCCGACGACCCCCAATTCGAGTCCAGCTCGCGGGCGAATGTCTGGACGGGGCATGGGCCTCTTCCCCCTAGGTCGACTCGGTCCTAAATAAGTAGTTGTTGCGGTTTGTTAAACATCAGCGCTGGAGGGGGAGACAAAGGCGGCCTGGCGTGGTGCTGGCCACTCACCACATCGAGTGCCGGTCCTCAGAGCACTTTCCCCCAAGCGTCTGTTTAAAGGCTGCACGGGGGATCTTTGTCTTTGTGTGTCTTTGTGAGGGTGTCACGTGTGCCTGTGATTATGATATATGTGAGTATGGTCTATGATGTGTTTATGTGAGTGTATGTATGTATGGGATCCTTGTTTTGTTATATGTTTATGGGACGGTGTGGGTGTGTGCGGACTTTAATCGATGCTACTCGCTAACAGCACTTGTCCCAAACAGCCTGCGCAGGCTACACGGGGGAACTTTGTCATTGCACGTCGGCATCCCCATCATCAGCGAACCGAGTAATTCGCCTGCTGAATGGCTCTGTAATTGGGAACAACAACAGAGGAAGACAATATTATAACCATATTACTCTTGCTGTTGTGCCTTGGCTCTCCATCACACCGGTTAGTGCTGTACTAGTGACGAATTGGCCACGTTCCGTTAACGTGACAAGCCCTTACTAGTTGGCTGTGTCGGGTGGTGGACGGGTTTTAACGACACATTTATATATTTGCGCGATCTCACCCAAAAAAACCTTTATTATGGATGATATTGGTCGCACCTATAAACGTGTTAAACGCCCGTTTGTTTGGCTTATTATTTTGAAGGGCTTGACGCGAGAGCTGATAAAAAGCGGGCCGATATGGCGAGAGTTGTATGTGGGTGTGTATATATGTGTGTGTGTGTATATATGTGTGTGTGTATATATGTGTGTGTGTGTATATATATGTGTATGTGTTTAGAGTGTTAGTGTAGCGGCTTGCACGCTCACGGCCAACACCAGTGACGATCATCTGAACCGGTCCTGGGCCTCTTCCCCTAGGTCGACTCAGCCTCAAATGAATACCTGGTGCGGTGTTTAAAATCATCGTCACTGGGGAGACAAAGGCGAACGGGCGTGGTGCTGGCCACCCACCCCCAGTGCGCCGTGCCCGCATTTATAGGTGCTACCCACTAACAGCACTTGCCCCAACAGTATGTTAAGGCTATACGGGGGATATTTGTCTATGTACGGCAGATGCTGGAATGAAGCACACCTTACCGCCTAAACCGCTGGATAAAGTGTGATGTGTTGACTGAGTTATTAGAGTTTGAGGATGCCCTTCTTTGCAGAGTTATATAAGCACCGTGCTTGATCAGTGTCGTCACTTTTTCCCCACTGTAGATCCAACCCGGACTGATTTCTCAGTCAGCAATGGGACTATCATAGCCGTGCAGTGTTACTGGGATACATTTCAACACGATACCAGATCTCGGGTACAAATCAATTCCTGCCACCCAACCACAGATGCCAACACCCGGACTGTCCGTTTCAAACCCGATATAGGCACACGTGAAGTCCAACATGAACTCGTTTTTATAGACCCATATTTATTGCATTATATAAAAAAAACATTTCTATTTAAATTAGCTCGTTCAATCCCTGTTCCATTGGTTCGAGTTTAATCATTGGTGATGGCGGTCCGTCTGGACCCCAATGTCAGATATAGGGCGTCACTGTGGTGAGATGTTACGTACCTCGCCTGGTACACAGGAGGTCGTGGGCTCGATCCCAATCCTGACACCTGCCGTCGATTTTGAGTTTGCGTGTCTCTCTCTCCCCGTGGTCGCGTGGATTTTTATTCCTGGTCCTCCGAATTTTCCCTCCACGTTTAAAATGAACAATGTGTTCGTAGTTTTTGGCCGCTAAGACTAAATAGTTCGGTGGGCCTTATCTGGTTAAAAAATAAACTTTTATTTCTTTATTCAGTATTTGCTCCCATTGACTGCGATTCCGTCACCAGTCTCGCACATTGGCCAGTTAGTATGTGGCAAGAAGAGCGACCTCCTGTCGACAGGTCTGGCCACCCGTTCTCCAAATTGAGAGACAACGCCGAACGGTAAACGAGGTCTTTAACGTCGCTCCTTCGGCTAAAGACGCACCCCCCCCCCCCCCCCCATCGCCCTTCTCACGCCACAGACACTCCCTTCGTCGAACTAAACATGGGATTGATTAATCACCCCCAGCGCGTGAATTTCCGCAGAGAAAACAACGAAAACGCCAACTCCAACACGGGCGGAGGTGGTGGCGGTGGCGGCGGCGGCGGCGGCTCCCAGCAGAACCAACTCACGTCCCCGTCTCTCAACGGGAGCAAGCACCTCCTGGCCAGCTCAGACGAGGACAAGAGCCCAGTGGGCACCCCGGACCGAGCGCACGTTTCCTCGGGCTCGTCTCACCACGCGGCCGGTGGGCCCGGTTCAATCCCCTTTCCGGGACTGAGCGGGCTGGGGGCCACAGCGTCTCCGGCGACGGCGGCGGTTCTGCTGAGCGGCGCCGATGTTCTTCACCAGCACCATCATCACCACCAGCAGCAGCAGCAGCACCACCACCAGCACCACCACCATCATCATCATCAGCAACAGCAGCAGCACAATCATCACCACCACCATCAACAGCAGCAGCAGCAGCACCATCAGCAGCAGCATTTGCACCACGGTTTACAAGACTCTCTGTTAAGTCCAATGTCGTCTGGCATTGTTAACATCGGCTCTTAATTGATTGAGGCTGGGTCAACAGTATTGTATAAATGTACTCTTTTAAATGTGTGTGTGTGTGTGTGCACTCTGATGAGGTCTCTACGTCTCTCTCTCTCTCGTCTTTCATCTGTTCGCTCAGTAATCGCGTCTGTACGTGGGATCGCTTTGTCGGATTTGCTAGACTCGGGATACGCCGCTTTTCGACATCACGGCAATCGTGAAACGAGCACGTGGCGGCTCACCAGACAGAAGGTGATGGTGGTGGTGATGGTCATTGTTCGTGTTTGTACCTCTATGTTTGTGTGTGTGTCTCTCTCTCTCTCGTGTAGCCGTTCCGGCCTTTATAGGTGCTGACGAACAGCACTTGCCACAAAATATGTTAGCTCTATATGGGGAATCTTTGTCTTGTGTGTCTCTCTTTCCACCCACGGTTGGCTATTTGAAGCGACCTCACAGCACCCGAATTCGATTCCCGCTCACGGCTCTACCAACGAACCAATGGCGATTATCTGAACCGGTGCTGGGCCTCTCCTAGATCGACTCAGCCTTAGACGAGCACCAGGTGCATCGGTATTGGGGAAACAAAGGCGGCCGGGAGTGGTGCTGGCCACCCCCCCCAAACCCCCCTCGTATGCCACAGTGCCGGCCGTCATAGGTGCTACTCGCTAACAGCACTTGCCCAAGCAGTCTGTCAAGGCTACACGGGCATCTTTGTCTTTGTCTCTTGGTGCCCTCCCGTTGTATATTCTCGGTGCCCCTTCACAGCGCTGCTCTCTGATTGGTCCTCCCGTTCGTCAAACCGCTACGAGGCCCGCTCCGTGTAATGTATACGGGGCAGACAACTGCGGTGACAGCAGTTCCCCGGTTAACGTCGAGGATGCGTTCCTGAATATCCAAACGGCGTAAATCAAAGCGATTTACGGGGTAAGGTGGCGGTGGTGGTGGTGGAGGCTGAAAAGCGACGTAAAACGAGAAAGGATGGACGGACGAGGCTGTCAGCGACGTAAGGGAGGGTGGGAGGGTGGGTGGGTGGGGGTGGTCGAGGCGACCAGAATCTGTGTATCTCCGTTGCGGCTGTGTGGAAGCGAAGGTTGTTCAAGTTGCGTGAACGCGTTGCGGCGGTCAGGTCAGCCCCGGCCTGTGTGTTGACGCCTGTGCCATGCATCGAAACGATACTGCCAAACGCTTAATCGTTATCGCTGTTGTTGTTGTTGTTGCTGTTGTTATTGTGTTTGTGACTGCGTATTATCACATCACGATGCACGCGCGCGGACATTATTTAGGTTAAACAAATCCTTATTGATATTTTTTTTATTCTAAGTTGGATAATAACTTGCTTAGCTATCTCGGCAAATTTGCACCTCGGATATAAAATAAAATAATAATCTTGAAAACAATAATCTTGAATCCACGGTTATGGGTTGTTTTTTTATTATTATTCGCGCGCCTGTTACCTGTCAAAAAAATCGGAATAACAAACGCGTTTCAATATCCGTCAGTGTACTATGAGAAGATCGTGGGGGAGCGGTGGCGCAGTGGTTAGGGCACTACACAAGCACCATTCCCCAGCCTCGGCTCACATTACTGACGAGTGAAATCTGAACCGATTCTGGGCCTGGGCCCAACCGCCCCTCACCCACCCCCTCTTCACCAACCCACATTGACCAGCGTGGTGAAGTATGCACAATCAGCCCACGTGACCTGTGCGGCGTGGGGAAGGGATTTAATCCAGCAGTGGATCGAGAAAGGGACTGTAAAAGTGCGAGAGGAGTCGTCATGTTGTTGAAGCCAGACCTTTGATCACATCACACAATTACCACTCGACCGCGCGGTATTGGCAATGCGTCTTGTTTGTAGTGATCAGAAACGCGCGTGCGTGTGTGCGGGTGGTGCGGTGTCTCAGGGGGTTCGTAATGACCGTGGCAGAGACACAGAACTGGCACCGCTGTGACCACGGGTTCGAATCCGGGGTCTCAACCACCTCCGATTAAACGGCGTTCTCAAGTTGCCGTGACGGTGGTGGGCTCAGCCCGGTCACCAATGACTGCACGCACCCACGCACACACACAAATCCACCGTCGCGTCAAAGTTTGTTCATGTCGCTTTAACTTCATCACCATAAATTCGGCTCCTTCAAAATTCAACGTTTCGTTACGACTACCACGAGACGACGACTCCGTGCAGCACAACGACGGGGAGTCACCCAACGTGCGGACACAACGGGCAGCTGGAGCGACCTCGAAACTAGTTCTGTAGTGGCCATCGTCCTTCGGAGCCGTTGTCCGTTGCAAGACGGCGCACTGCTCGCTTGCGAGAGTTCACAAAAAAACCTAAACAAACAAAACGCCTTCGTCTCGTCTCCTGACGCTCGCCGCACATCAACATCATCACCAGCCGTCATCAATCCACTGCTGGATGAAGATCCTCCCCAAGCCGTCGCCGCCTCGCACGCTCAGCTGAGCGGTGTGGAACCTTTGGCCCCTGAAGCCCGCGGGGCAGCAAACACAGCCGTGGCTTCGTTCCGTACACCCCGCGGACAACGGGGGATTGTATTTCGCTTCGAGACGTTCTAAGCACGGCATGTATCCGTCGAGGCGAGCATCTTATGCCGCACCAATCGGGCACTCGAGGGGGAATGGTTGTTTATTGTTTTGGTTTTTTTTCCCCTCTACCGTGCAACAACGCCGAGCTCCGCGTGTTAACGCGCTCGGCCGCACCTCTCACGTCTGCGGAGGCGAGCGCGCCTGCGTGTCAATGTCTACTGACTGTGGGTTTGCCTGCAAAGAGAAGGGATATTTTAAAAGTTCCCCTCCAAGGCCATCGGCGAGGCAAACGCGTGCCACGTGCCACCCCGCAGGTCGCGTGCCGACAGCGCGGCCGCAATTGCATTCGGAAGAACAAACACACGAACCCCTGCTCACGCGCGCACGTGCGAGTCAGTGTGTGTGTGAGTAGGGGATTTTATACAACATGGAGAAGGACCGTTGCCCGAAACGTCGCCTATTAAATACTCTCCCCCCACCCCCCCCCCCCCCCCATAAGGCAGTGTTACTGACGAATGCGTCGATATGTTTTTGTTACTTGCGTGATATGTGATCGTGCACCGCTGAGTGTCAAAACACACGTGTGGCCAAGCGAGGACTTACGGCCAACCGTCGGTCCTGATACTCGGCGGCGGTGTCTACGCCACGCGTGGCTCGCCTCGCGTCATCCAGCCACTGCGGAGGTAGCGGCGAGGGCTAGTGGAGCCCACGCTGCCCGTTGTGAAAGTCGCTTCCTGTGTGCGTCAATGAGAAGAGCCGTGATAGAGCAGCACGTGGACTCCAGCTGTTCCATCTGTACGGGGATCGAGCGTTTCTCCCCCCCGCCCCTCCCCGCCCCCCTCCCTCGCACGCGTGAAGTTTTCTACGGGTGTTCCGATGTTTTGTTTTTTGTTGCCCCACGTATAAGCACTCATTTCATTGGCCGATAACACCTCGATATGCAGAGGACCGCAGAGCTTGGGTTTGAGAATGTGGCACCGGCTCACCACCGCGTGGCTCATGCTGCTTATTCCTCCACCCGTCTGTGGTTACCAACCTCGCGCCTCTGAGTGGCCTTCTCTCTCTATATCTCTCTCGTCTCTCTCTCTCCCTTCGAGATCGAGGAGGGAGACTACTGTGCAGTGGCAACAGCGCGTTGTTCCAAGTTGAAACCGTTTTTTATTGTTGTTGTTGTTATTAGTGTTATTATTCAACGGCAGAACCGACGAGTCAGCTTTTGCATGCATTGAATGCGTATTTATAAAACATTGATAAGACAGATCGCACACGTGCCGAGATCGTTGCGTTTTCTCTAATGTTGTGCGTACCTTGTACCGGGGGGACATCCCGCGCCAGGCTGTGTGTATCTCTGTGTGTTTTTGTGAGTGTGTGTGGCCATGTACGTGTCTTTGTGTTTATCCGTGCATGCAACAACAAAATACAGCCGGTCTCCTTGTGAAATCCGCAGTGAATATTCGTGGTGTTTAACAAAAAAAATAATGGCACGCGAACATACTGCAGTCAACACGTGCACACGGCTGGACACGTAGACGCACACATGCATATTTTAAATAGGTAAGTCCTCGCTTAACGCGTGTTCACACGACGCGTTTTCACAATAACGTGCTTTTTCCATTTAAGAAAACTTCTCGCACAACGTGGAGCGTGCCCCGTTATAACGCGGTTTCTGAGCGGCCGATGACGAAACTACTTTCTTGGGCAGTGTGGCTGAGCGGTATGACGCAGTGCGTGGAGTGATACGGTAACGCGCCATCTCACTGCGCGTGTGCGCAGTAAATTGTATATATCGTCAAACTCGCCGCTACCACATTATTTATGGAGAAATTATTTTCGATTCACGCGTTTTTCACTTAACGCGTCGCTTTTCAGGAACACGTCTACCGCGCTAAACGAGGACTCGCTATATGCTCTAAAACACACATCATATTCTTGGTTCTTTCGGTAAAGTTACGTAGAAGGGAAATAATAAAATAATAAAAATAAAACATAATAAATATTCTCACGACGTTTCGGCCACAATTATTTTATTATTTCCCTTCTCCGTGATTTTACCGAAAGAACCAAGCACATGAATCCCTGCAGTCACGAAAGCTTTAAATTGAAAAAAAACATCGTTGCTGAGCACAAGGGGACAAAACGTCAAGCGGTCAGCTAATAAAGAGGCATCATCGACGTTTGAATAGAAAGCAGTAAACACGTTTCTACACTCGAGCAAGGTTTGAGAATAGGGGTTTTCCCCGTTTTTATGGCAACCAAAAAAACCTTTTACAAGGAGTCATGTCTGCATTAACCACTATACTTGTGGTCAGAATGCAAACAAAAAAAAAACACTGATAATATATGCATTGCCATTGAAACTGATTGGTCCACACCAGAGACAGCTTTCTTTTGAGCCTCGCCTTTTGGCGTCCTCTGGTCTAACACCCTTTGAGACGAGGCTCAAAAGAAAGCTGTCTCTGGTGTGGACCAATCAGTTTCAAGGACAATGCATTTATTATCAGAGTATTTTTTGTGTTTTCATTCTGACCACAAGCGTTGTGGTTAATGCAGACATGATTCCTTGTAAAAGGTTTTTTGTGTTGCCATAAAAACGGGGAAAACCCTATTATCATATTTTCCAACTGGCAAAGGAGGTCCCATGATCGAGCAAGGTTGCTATGCGAGCCTGGGCAAAAGAGGCAGGACAGGAGGCAAAATAAGTGAACAAAATTTCTGACCTGCAGATTTAAAGAACAGCAACGGGTACTCATTTAAGGCTGAGTCGAACTTTCAGGTGGCCGAGTTCGTAGCGTTGGCGTGCTTACCACTACGCAAACAAACGCACACCAACAAGCACAAAGATCCCCCGTGTAGCCTTAACAGACTTTTGGGGCAAGTGCTGTTAGCGAGTAACACCTCTGAAGGCCGGCACGGCACACGAGGGGGTGGGTGTCCAGCACCACGCCCGGCCGCTTTTGTCTCACCAGAGCCGATGTTTACACGCTGCACCAGGTACTCATTCAAGGAGGGAAAGCCTAGCTGTGAGCAGGAATCAAATTCGGGCCAACGGGTGTGTAGAGCAGTGCGCTAATCACTACACTACCGCTCCCCATACACTCGCGCATTTCCACACGTGCACACGCAAATGCACACAGACGCTCACACCAAGAGGCACCATTCGCCACACGTGAAATGTGAAGGTTCGCTGACAGGAGGCCATGGGACAGACCCATGTGCCATGGGTTGACTGACTGAAATGTCTGACAGATGCACCACCTGTGCTCCCCACTGTGCCAACTTGCTGAGTTTTCAAACTCCAGGTGATCCGCTCGTTGTTGTGAGCATCCTTTGTTGTTGCTGGAGGGCGACTGCCTCCAACTGCACGGTAGCGTCCTTCACGAGCCTCCTCCGTAGAGGCCGATCTTGACACCGCTGGTACCAGTCATCCATCGGTAAGTCCACTCAGCTCCACATCCTCCTGGACCGCATCGACCCATCTCTTCTCGAGCCCGTGCCGAGCCCGTTTAGCTTCCTCTGTCCGGCCAAGCAAAAGGTGCTTAGGCATGCGGTGGCTGGGTATGCGAACCACATGACCCAGCCAACCCAACTTCGCCTGCCAGAGGAGCTCACCGATGGGATGGGACCATGTCCATATATTTCAAAAAACCTGCGAGCTCCTCGCATACGCTTGCACCTAGTCACACGCACGCGCACAGGTGTGTGAGTGACGGCTGTAATCGCCGCGTCTCCCCCGTGGTGTCCGGTGAACGGCGCTCGACCTGCGGCTTCCCAATCCCCCCATGGCATCGCTCGCGTTATTATCCGCGCCACGTTACCACAAACACAATTACCACCGCATCCCCCCCCCCCCTTCGTGTGTGTGTG